TCTAAGGTTGAGTTAGACTAAATTATATTTATTAACATGGTATCAAGAGTTTCATTTAAGATCTGATGGACCACTTGTTATTAAGTTTTTACTATCGTATCACTCACCATTTATTTTCACACTCTAGATGTCTAGTCTTGGACTTGAGAGATGTGTTAAGAGTCTTACAACGAATAATATATGATCTGAACATATTTTTATAAGTGGAGACAATCTTTAACTTAAAAGTTAATTTAGTAAAATTGAATTAAACTAAACCATATTTTTTTTAACATGATCCAATATCCACCTATTTCCGACTCCTCCTGTACGGAAGAAAGGAAACACTAACTCACTATTTAACTAAATTACATGTCATTATATCGAGTAAAATTTTTAAAGTTCTAATCGATACAAATATGATTAATGAGAATAAATGGTATCCGCTATATAACTAAACTTACCAATTCTCTCTTTGCTCGATTTATGTGATTTTGTTGGCTAGATCTCTTAGGATAGATTCACTTTCGCGAAATCAATTAAAAACCATTTCCAAGTATATGTAAGAGCTGAGCTCCGGCAAATGTAATTTCTTTCTTCCGATAACTCCTTCTAGATAAAGCACCTACTCACCAAAATCCTTCTAGAGTATCTTGTTGTTCTAGTTGAGTGTGTGGTGGACTTTTACTTGATTTAGTTTGTTCTTTTGTCCTGTGTTTTGGGCTGTTTTCTCATGTGTTATTGTGGTGTTTATTGTCATATATGTTGTCTTTCCGTTAAGTTTGTTGTTGGTTTTTTTTCCTCTTCTTTGTAATGTTCAAATTGTGATTAAAGAAACCACGTATTGCACCTTTTTGAAAAATTAACAACAGTAAGTAACTGCTTGAAATAGAAGCAGAGAATGTTCCCCATACACGACGTAAAGCAAAGCATATACAAGTGGACCTAAAATAAGATATTTAAAAGCATACCAACCATATTACACATTTAAAAGCAAAAAAAAAAAGAAAGATAATTTGTAATGTTTCATATTCCTAGGTTCTTTATAGTATCTAAGAGTCTATTTATGTACCTACAATTTTTAGAGAGAATAATTTAATACTGCTAGATATTTTCATTAATCTACTAGAATTCTCTATGCACCAATATAAATAGAGATTTACTGTATTGAAATGGTACCGTATTAATAAGAAATATTATTCACAAGTTTCATTTTATTACTTTTACTTTCTATGTCTCTAACAGTTTTGGCATCAAAGCACTAGGTTATTAAAAAAAAAAAAGAGAATGACAATAACAAATTCAAACTCTATTTTCTCTTACACAATAAATCAGATTCTAATTTTCAATGGTGAACACTATGACTACTAGAACTCTCAAATGGAAACAATCTTTATCTCTTAAGATCTATGGGATGTGGTCGAAGAAGGTTATGCAAAACGACCAAGTCAAAAAAACGCTTCCTATACTGAAGATAAAGAAAAAACATACAAGGAGAATGTGAAGAAAAATGCTACAGCATTGAGACTTATCCAGCAAGGTGTGAGTAAAACCATTTATCCTATAATATTTGGTGTTAAGAAGGCCAAAGATACATGGAAAATTCTAAAGACATAATTTCAAGGCTCAACAAAAGTGATTTTCATAAAGTTGTAGTCTTTATGGAGTCAATTTGAAAACTTAACAATGAAAGAAGGTGAGCAAGTCAAATTTCTTGTCTAGAGTTACTGAGATTTCAAATCAAATTAAAAGTTTTGGAGATGAAGTTCCAGAAAAGAAAGTGATTGAGAAAATAGTGTGAAGCCTCCCTCAAAAATTTGAGCATGTTTTTGCTGTTATTGAAGAAACAAAGGACCTTGCAAAACTCACACAATATGAACTCATGGGTTCCTTAGAAGCTCATGAACAAAGATTTAATAGATACAACAATTAGTCATTGGAGAATGTTTTTCAAGCAAAGATGAATATTCGGAGTTCCAACTCGCAACAAGAAGGAAGATGGGACTCATTTCGTGGACAAACTTCTAATAGAGGACATGAAGGCATTCTGGAAACAGAGGCAGAGGCAGAGGAGAAAGGAGACAAGGTAATTCTAGTTCATATTGCCTTATTTGCAAAAAAACTCGAACATGAATCAAAAGATTGTCATTTTAGAGATTGTTGGCATAAGAAGAAAGAAGGTGATGAAAGACTGAAGGGAGTTAATTTTTCTGCAGAAGATGATGCAAATAAATTATTCTCTACTATGATTAATGATAAAAAATCTGGTGAGATATGGTTTTTGGATAGTGGTTGTAGCAATCATGTAATAGGGACCAAAACATATTTGAAGAGCTAAATAAAACTACTCTTCTCATGTTGAACTTAGTGATGGAAAACATGTGAAAATTGAAGGAAAAGACGTTGTAGCAGTTCATACTACCAAGGTAACAAACAACTCATTCATGATGTCCATTATTCTCCTGAAGGTCACAGTGTTACAGACTTCCAACAATCTTTTTCCCCTCAACATGAAGATGTTCCAGCCTACTGTGTTTAGCAATAAAAGTTCAGATGACTCTTATCTTTGGCATTTGAGATATGACCACTTAAACATCAAAGGTCAACAACTCTTAAAATAAAAGAATATGGTTGTTGGGCTTCCCGAAATCAAGAAGGATAATGAAGTTTGTGAAGGTTGCATTTATGGAAAAATACACTGTCTTCCATTTCCAAAAATAACATGGAGATCACAATCCCCTCTTGAACTAGTAGTACATGTAGATATTTGTGGACCTACTAGAACTTCATCTCTTGGAAACAAGAGGTATTTTCTCCGCTTTGTTGATGATTACACTAGAATGATCTGGATTTATTTTTTTGTTCAGAAATTAGAAGCTTTTACCAAGATCTTGCAATTTAAAGCCCTTGTTGAAAATCAAAGTGGCTACAAGTTGAAGACTCTCAGAACTGACAGAGGAGGAGAATTTATCTACAAGCCATTTCTCAATTATTGTAAAGAACAAGGCATTCATAGGCAGCTCACAATTAGACACGGACCACAACAAAATGGTCTTGCAGAAAGAAAAAATAGAACAATTGTTGAAATGGCTAGAAGCATGCTAAAAGGTAAAGAGCTTCCAAATAATTTCTGGGCTGAAGCTGTTAGTAATGTTGTTTTCATCCTTAATCAATCCCCTACAAAGGCAGTTCAAGATAGAACTCTTTTTGAGGCATGGTATGGAAGACAACCAGTTGTAAGTCAACTTAAAGTCTTTGGATGTATTGCATATTCTCTTGTTCCGGCTCAAAGTAGAGAAAAAATTGATGAAAAGGGTGAAAAGCTTATTTTTGTTGGATATAGTGGTGAATCAAAAGGATATCGTCTTACTAATCCAACAACTAGTCAATTGGTGATTTCAAGAGATGTGATTTTTAATGAAAATGCCACATGAAAATAAGAAGCTTGTGATGTTGTGAAAAGACCTATGGTGCCTATTGAACTAAAGGAGTCACCTCTTAGTGTTACCGGTCCGTCAAGGAGTAATTCTCACGAAGACGACTCTGATTTAGTTTCTTAGGAAGAAATTTATGAATCATGTAATGTTGCATTTTTTGCACATGAGCCACAATATTTTGAAGAAGCACTAAAAGAAGCGGTATGGAGGGAAGCTATGAATGAGGAAATGATGAGCATTGAGAAAAATTGTACTTGGCAGCTTATAGAACTTCCAGCTGAAAAAGACGCAGTTGGTTTGAAGTGTGTCTATAAGATTAAGTATAACGAAGATGTAAGTGTACAGAAGTATAAAGCACGATTAGTGGCGAAAGCGTATTCACAGCAATCCGATGTGGATTTTAATGAAACTTTCATTCCCGTAGCACACATGGAGACTATCAGAATAATCCTTGCATTGGGAGCTCAATTAGAATTGTAAGTTTTTCAACTTGATGTTAAATCAGCTTTTCTTAATGGAGATTTAGAAGAAGAAGTTTATGTGAAGCAGCCTTAAGGTTTTGAAGTAAAAGGAAAATAAGGAAAAGTCTACAAGCTACATAAAGCTCTTTACAGTCTAAAACAAGCGCCGAGGGCGTGGAACAGCAAAATTGATACTTACTTCTTGCGAAATGGATTGGTGAAAAGTTCATCAGAACCATCTCTATATGTGAAAAGAGACGGTGTTAATTTCTTAATGGTTTGTATCTATGTTGATGATTTAATTTATGCGGGAACAAATCTTAATATGGTGCAATCATTCAAGGAAGCAATGATGAAAGAATATGAAATGACAAATCTCGAATTTGATGAAGTATTTTCTTGGAATTCAAGTGAAGCAAACAAAAGGTGATATTTTTATCACACAAGAAAAATACATTCATGATTTGTTTAAAAAAATCAGATTGGAGAGTTGCAATCCAGTCTCAACCCCCATGGCAATGAATGCAAATTTTCAGCTGAATGATGGTGCAGAAAAAGCAGATCCAAAAGTCTATAGAAGCCTTGTTGATTCCTTGATTTATCTCACAAACACAAGGCCAGATATAGTACATTCAGTTAGTTTGTTATTTAGATTTATGAATGCATCGAGTAAGCTTCATTTTGTAGTAGCAAAGAGGATTTTGCGCTATCTCCAAGAAACTAAGAAGCTTGGAATCAAGTATGTGAAGGAAGAAAATAACAAATTACACTACTAAAAATATGACATTTGAGAACAAATATTTACATCATGTATAAAAAAATATGATGTAAAAAGTTCAATCCTAAAAAAAAAACAAAAACACAGTGGTAATTTTGTAAATAGATGAATTACACGTTACATCGGTTAATACACCAATCGATGTAATAAATTGGCCATTACATTGGACCAAATTTCCAACCGATGTAAAAAGTTAAGTCCTAAAAAAAATTAAAATACGGTGACAATTTTGTAAATAGATAAATTGAACATTACATTGGTGTATTAACCGACCAATGTAAAAACTAAAAATAAAATTAAAAAAACAATTAAATGAATAAAAGAGGAATGCATCATTCAGTGTTAGGGTTCACAAAAGATCCTTGGCATTTCACGTGAAATCAACCTCTTCTTCCTCTCAAAACAGACTCAGCAGCGACTCCTCCTTCTCTAGCTCGCGATTTCGCCGCCGTACCCACAACCTGCGCCTTCAAAATCCTTCGATTTCCTTCGTCTACATTCTCACATTCATCTCCGTCCGTCATCCCACAGTATCGTTGGCGTGCTTCTTATCTGTTTGTGATTCCGTCTCAAACGTGCCACGACTCTTCTCCTTTTCTTATTTCCCTTCTGTTTTAGTTTTTGGTATTTGCGTGTGCTTGTTAATGAGGATCTGTTGTAATGCTGCAATTTCTTGTTGTTACAGGTTGTATTGTTGTGATGTTGAACGTTACAAGGTGAAATGGATGATTTGAGAAGACGAAGATCTGAAGCAAGTTGATGTATAAGCGATTATGCAGAGAGAGGCTGAGAAGTTTTTGAGGTGAGTTCTCTGAAGAATGAACCGTGTTTCTCTCTTTCTGAGTTTCTTTTATGTGAGTTGTTTTTTTCTTCTGAATGTGTAGATCTGGAATTGTGTATATTTGTGTATGTGAATCATTTTATTAAAGTATGTATATATTACTGTCCTGTTTTTTTCTCTCTTGCTTGTTCCTATATATTTGCTTTAATTTATATTCCTCTTTTAATGATTTAGGTATCCTGGACCTGGACCTAAATTTCCAGGCTATCATCGATGGGAAATTCACCGATGTTCTTAGAAATTTCTTAAATTCATTATTGGTTCTATATGGGTTATCATGTTATGTATATTATGCTTAGGAAAAATGGTGAACTGAGAAACAATTTGAGAAATATGAAACAATTGTTCGATATAATCCATCTTATGAAGAGTATCACAATATAGTGTTTTTATAAAGGTTTTGTCACTCATCATGTTTAAGTGGTGTTCCTACTCCTTGCTTTAGTTTTGTCAAATACGTTGAATCATGTTTTTGGTGACTTTGTTTTAGGAAATTTGAATGTTAAACCTGACAAAGATTTAAAGATTTTGCAAGACATGTTTTTATAAGAGGTACTCTATAATTATATGCACTTTCTCTATTTGTGCAACTGGTCTTTTAACAAGATTTTGCTTATGTTGAACTAATCTTTTTCTTATACTTGCACTAGCTGTCATCCAAATTGAAAGATTTTGCATGTAACTTCAGCTAAATAGTGGTTGGCTTAGTTGTGAAGACTCAAATGATGTGAATGCTGGAATAGAAGAGTTGGAAGATGGAAACAGAACTGGTATTTTCTTTCTATATTATTTTCATTTAAAAATTTATTTCTTTTGTGAATATTATTTAGTTGCTATGGAGGTAAATTTAGATATGAGTATGATGTAAAAAATGATGTTAGACTAATGTATTTCAAACATTAATATTATTGAATAACAATATTGTAGAGATTGTCGTTGTTCTCCACTAACCACTGCTCGCCGCTGCCGCCAAACTCATCATGGTATCTATTAGACATTTTGAAGTTATATTCTTAGAGTTTTTAGATAAAGTACTACTCTTATGACTATAATTTTAATCTTACTGACTCCCAGTCAAAAGATAAGCTTCTCCCCTTTTAGATATTTTAATCTCAGGTTATGACTACATTACATAAAACTTCACACCTAGATGTATTTAATATCTATGCGGGCCTTTTGTGTGTTTATTGGTTAAATTAGATGTTACCTTTGTCATTTATTTGAATGTGCTTCTTTTGTTTATAGAAATCATTTATCAATTAAATAATATTTTACCATTATTATTGATTTGAAATGCATCATGTTTGTTTATTGATAGTTGAACATGTAAAAAGAGTTGTCCTTCTTAAAACACCCATTGCATAATTATGTAGTTTTGTCTCAATTGGAGTAGCAAAATCAGTTGATAAGTACAAAGCATGTTGTTTATGTAGTGTTTCGTCTCAACTAGAACAACAAAATACCAGTTGACATATGTTAGACAATTAGGTACCAAAAAAATTACATAGAATCTGCTAAAAATTAGTCAATTTTTTTTAATAAAAATTGTAGATCTTTTACATCGGGCCAAACAATTAACCAGATTTTTCACATTGGACCAATAAGGCAACCGATGGAAAAAATTATGTTTATTTTTTCAAAACAAAGTTGTACTTTTTTTCACATCAGAATGTTGTCTAATGTAAAATGTCTTTGATTTACTATATTGCTTGACTTTATATCGGACCCAGGTCCGATGTAAAATGTGCGTTTCACCCGATGTAAAAAGTCTTTTATGCACTAGTGTTAGTTGGTTATACTGATAGTGATTGGGCTGGTAGTTTTGATGACAGAAAAAGTACTTCAGCCTATGTTTTTTGTCTAGGATCCAAAGCTATTTCATGGAGTTCTAAAAAGCAAAATTCAATTGCACTGTCTTCAGCAGAGGCTGAATATATCTCAGTGAATGAAGCTACGCGCGAAGCTGTTTGGTTGAGAAGAATCTTGATTGACTTGAAGCTACGCGCGAAGCTGTTTGGTTGAGAAGAATCTTGATTGACTTGCAGCAAAAAGTAGAAGATTCAACTCCTATTTTCTGTGATAACCAATCAGCAATTTCGATGTCCAAAAATCTAGTTTTTCATGGAAGATCTAAACATATTGAGTTGCGACACAACTACATTCGTGATATGGTTCAAAAGAAGGAAATCTACTTAGTACATCAAGACCACATAACAGCCAACTGATGTTCTTATCAAAGTAGTATCACTTGAGAAGTTTAAACAATTCAAGGATACCATGAAAATTACAAATTAAGAGGGGGTGTTAAATGATAATTTGTAATGTTTCATATTTCTAAGTTTTTTAAAGTATCTAAGAGTCCATTCATGTACCTACAATTTCTAGAAAGAATCATTTAATACTGCTAGATGTTTTCATTAATCTACTAGAATTCTCTATGCACCAATATAAATAGAGATTCACTGTATTGAAATGGAACTGCATTAATAAGAAACATTACTCACAAATTCCATTTTATTACCTTTACTTCCTCGGTCTCCAACATAATTAGCATTTGTCATTCATGAAGAAAAAAAGATAGATTAGAGTTAACAGGAGCTTTGGTGTATGCCATGCAATGACTTCCATATATATCATAAACAAAAGTGAAAAATAACCCTAGTATACTGATTTCTAAAAGCAAACTCAAAATTAGATATTGTTTGTTCTCTAATCAATTAAGTAACGTCAGATAATTATAAGAAATATTCTCAACCAAATGGGGATAAGCTTCTACCAGTTGCCACAGCATTGATCATAGGTGTTGTTATTCCAAGCTTCATAGATGCACCAAACTTCTTCTCACTCACCTTTGTGTCATAAGCTTCACCAATAGGATCACTTTCATCACTTCCATCCAATGAGTCACTTTTGAAATTAGGAACATCTTGAGGACTAATGCATGATGAAGTTGTTCCAAAATCATGAAGCCTAAGATCATTATTATTCCAAATTAATGGACTCTTTCCATTTTCATCAAAAGGGTTAGTCCTTTTCTTCCCCACAAACATGTTTTCACTATCATTAGTTGGCATAAATCCTTCAAGGGTTGGTCTCTCAAGTTGTTCCTCATCACTACCACAAATGTTAAGGTCTTGCAAATGAGGAAAGTTATTAAGAGGAGAAACAAAATCTTTCATGTCAGGGATGCTTTGAGTTCCATTTATACTCTTGAAATTTGTAGCTGCAGCGGCCATGTTTTCTCCTGCAAGTGTGTGATAAGCTTTCTCTAATATACTTTGCATGTATTTTCCTTGAGCTTCAATCCTCAATTGAAGGTGTTTTTGAACCTGCCACAAATAAAAACTAAGCACTTCAAACATATGCACCACATATATTTTTTTGTCTAAAATCTTAAGATATACTTATAGATTTCTTTACCTCTAATTGTTCATGCAATCTTCTGTGCACCTCCATTTGCATCCTAAAATATTGCACCACTCATAGTTACACACAGTGGACAAGCAAAACATAATACAACTAAAACATCAACGGAAAATTTCTCATTATATGAGGTAAATTATATAGATAACATACATTTATGTTAGAATTTCTCTAGAAGAATTCAAATTAAAGAAAAACATAGATTGTTTTCTCTAAACCAAAAGAATAAAAAGTACTAAAAGCAAAAAGAAAAGAGAGAAGAAACAAACTATACTATATTATAGTTTACTTGTGGTGGAGGGTTTGAATGAATATATTAATTAAGAATCAAAAAGTGAATTAGCATACTCATTCATGTTGCGGCCAGTCATAGAAGACGAGGTGCCAGTATTTCGTTGCAGTTCAAAAGCTGAAACTGTCATGAAAACAAAAGCGTTTCAATACATGTGAATTCAATAAAGTGTACTAAAGACAAAAAGCTCAAAAAATCAATATACTAAAGGAACATGGAAGTAATTAAAGTGCCATTTCACCTCTCATACCATCCTTAATCGATTGTTCATTGAATTCCTTGTGGGGTTGCTTTCCAAGCCTAAATTTCTATTAATACAAAAGGAAATAAAAAATCAAAGAACTTAAAGAAAAATGGATAAAGAAAAAAAATTGATAGTGACACAAAAGTGAACTAAATTATTAAAAGTTTAGAGTATAAATAGTTTGTGATCAAACCTGAAGATGGCTCTTGAGGTGGTAAAGGGTAAGACCCTTCACACCCATAACCCTCATGATTGTTTTAGGAGTGGCTTCTACAAATTAACACACAAAAGAGAGGAACAGTTAATAAAACATAGATACAAATTGCAAATTATATTATTACAAAAAGTAGAAATAAAGACAAAGTATAATACCACTTAGATTTCTTGTATCAAAATTTAGTGATAATATTAAAGACAATTTCATATTTTGTGTCACTAATTTTATTTTTTCAAGATATATTCTTTGAAAAAACTTTTTGTTTATTATATAATTCGCACCACATGAAAGAAAAGAACAAAGGGAGAAGACGAGTACTATCTGGTCCTCCAAGCTGAGCAACAGCATCGATGAAGCGTTCATGGAGTTCGACAGTCCAACGAAGCCGTGGTTTTGGATCAGTGGTGAGGACAAGGCCAGAATCACCTTGAACACACATGGGTCTATCAAGAGAATTCATCATAGTTGAGGGCTTCTTTGATGGGAACATTCTTTCCATTTCTCACTATATTCTTGTTTCTCTCCCTCTTGCTTATAAGAAACTTAGCTGAAAATAGATAGTGATTCAAGAACAAATATGTGATGCTAAGAAAGAAGAATAGGGTGCGTTTCTATATAAAAGGAGATGGAGAATATAAAAGGCTTTATTTACATTCTCTAAAACGAATAAAGGGAAGAACAAGCTTATAAGTTACCTTGCTTAAAAAGAATACATATTAGATACGTATATAGATATTATTTTAGAAAAATAAAGTATTACTATTGTAATATATATATATATATATATATATATATATATATATATATATATATATATATATATATATATATATATATATATATATATATATATATATATATATATATATATATATATATATATATATATATATATATATATATGGAAAATTAAGACAAAATAACAATAATACGCAGCAGATATAAAATTCGTCACATTTGTAGGAACCTTGAGGATCAATAACAAATATAAGACGGTAAATCGAACAAATAAAGGCAAAAAACACCGATATTTTAACGTGAAAAATCATTCAATATGGAAGTAAAAACCACGAGTCGCCCAGACCAAAGAAATAGTTCTACTATAATAAATTAAGGATACAAGAGAGTCTTAAAGTGATACACAAAATAGTGATAACAGTCGCAAATCACAAAACAAACGAACTTATAAATAAAAATCCAAAAATCTGAAAAATTACTCAAATGTACAACTTCAGTGTGAAGTAATTATCTCCCGGCTTTGACTTTGTTTTGAATATCCCAACGGTCAAAAGTTAGATATAAGTGTTGCGAACATTCCCTCTAAATTTGAGCTCAATTCGACGGCTAACAAATCGGGGATTGTCGATTTCGTGAGACTAGTGCAGAAAAAACAGAAATGAGTTTCTCTCATCTTTTCTCTCTTTTGAATCCTTATTTTCTCTCTATTTCTCTTAACTATAAATTGAAACTCTTCACTTAAATAAGTGAGTCAAATGAACTATTCATATTTGGGTCTTTCTCCATATAGGAAGGGAGCCCAAACCCAACAAATCTCCCCCTCATAATTATGTTGAGGAAATCGCAAAATCGACGATATCACAACAAACTTCAAATTTCCCTCTTGGTAATGCTTTAGCCATCATATCAGAACCATTATCATTTGTATGAACTTTAGCTCACTCCAACAACTTAGCATCCAAAATATCATGTATCCAATGATATCTCACATCAATGTGTTTGGAACTATTATGAAAAGTCGGATTCTTACCAAGATGAATAACACTTTGACTATGAACAAATTACACATATTTGTCTTGAACAAAACCAATCTCCTGCAAAAATTTCTTCAACCATAGTAACTCTTTGCATGCTTTGGTAATGACAATAAACTCAGTCTCTGTAGTAGATAATGCTACACACTTTTGCAATCTGAATTGTCAAGCCACAACTCTCCCTGCAAATTTAATCATTTAATCCAAAGTGGAATTTCTAGAATCAATGTCTCCAGCCATATCAGAGTCAGAGTATCCCACTAGAGTAGGCTTATCTCCTCCAAAGCAAAGCCTCATACAAGTAGTACCGCGAAGATACTTTAAAATCTATTTTACAACACTCCAATGTTCTCTACCTGAATTTGACAAAAATCAACTGACTGTACCAACAATATGTCTTATATCTGGTCTTGTATATACCATTGCATAAATCAAACTACCCACAGTAGACGCATAAGGAACATGTTTCATATCAAACACGTCATCTTCACTTGAAGGACTTTGATTAGAACTCAATTTGAAATGAGTAGCAAGAGAAGTGCTTACCGTTTTAGAGCTTTTCCATTTAGAGTCTTTGTAGTACTCTTTCGATATAATATTCTTGTGACATCCAAAGTTTCTTCTCTTTTCTATCACACATGATTCTAATACCAAGAATCTGTTTAGCTGCTCCCATGTCTTTAATGGAAAATTACTCTCCCAACTGCTTCTTTAATCATTGCCTTGGAGCTTGCTTCAACCCATATAGACTATTTCTCAATCTACAAACATGATCTTCTTTGCCTTTACCTTAAAAACCACTGGGTTATTTCATGTAGATCTCTTCCTCCAAATCACCATAAAAGAAAGTTGTTTTCACATCCATTTTCTCAACCTCTAAATCAAGAGTATCAGCTAAGCTCAACACAACTCTGATTGATGACATCTTTATAACAGGTGAGAAAATATCATTAAAATCAACACACTTTCTTTGACAGAAACCTTTCACCACTAATATGGCTTTATATCTTGGAGACTTAGAGTTGCTCTCATGTTTAACTCTATAAATCCATTTGTTTTCCAAAGCTCTTTTACCTTTAGACAACTTTACTAAATCATATGTGTGATTAGCATGCAATGGTTTCTTCTCGTCATGCATCGCATCCAACCACTTTTGATTTTCATCATTTTCCATGTCCTCTTGCAAACACCCAGGTTCACCCTCATCAGTCATGGTCACATACTCATCAGAATTATACCTTGTAGAAGGTTGTCTCTGTCTGATAGACCTCCTAAGTTGAACTTGATATGATTCTGGAGGTTCACCAAGATTCTCATATTGTGACATATCGCTCTCCCCTTCATCGTTATTAGTTGGAATATTTATCTCATCTCCAAGCTGTTGATCATCAACATAATCATATGACTCACCATATTGATCATCACCATCAATAACATCTAGATTATGATCAAGTAACCGAACTGGATCAACATTAGATAAATTTATATCTTTCTTGGGTGCAGTCTTCTCTACCTTATCAATGTCTTCAATATTTTGGTCTTCCATGAATACTACATAGCAGCTTCAAATAAGCCTTTTCCATACAGGATGATACAACCTGTAACCAAACTCATTCTTCCCATAGCCAATGGATATAAATTGTTTTGACTTTGCATCCAACTTGGATCTTTCATCCTTTGGAATATTAACAAAAGCCTTACAACCAAAGACTCTCAAATTACTTGACATCTTTTCAAACAAAATCTTGTCTGGAACTACACTATTCAAAGCAATAATAGGAGTGATATTAAGAACATGCATCGCTGTGTAAAGTGCCTCACCTAAAATTGTTTGGCAACTTAGCTCCAGAGAGCATACACCTTACTCTAGTGTTTGATTCATCCTCTCTGCTAAACCATTAAATTGAGGACTTTTAGGAGATTTCTTTTTCATGTGCAATAACGTGATGCTTGCAATAGGCATAAAATGAACCACAGTACTCACCACCATTATCAGAACAAACACATTTCATCTTCTCGCATGTCTATCTCTCTACCAAAGGATAGAATTCTTTGAACTTCTCCAATACTTGGTCTTTTGTCTTCAAGACTTAAACCCGTAATTTCTTGGAATAATCATCAATAAAGGTGACAAAATAAAATGAACCACTAAAGGATTTTACCTTTAATGGACCACAAACATCAGAATGTAGTAATTGAAGCAACTTTGACTTCCTTAAGGGAGGATGTCTCTTGAAAGATAATCTAGTCTGTTTACCAGCCATGCAATTGATAACATGAAAATACATAGTATATTTCGAATTGATTCGGATGAATTTTATTGTCAATTTTATATGTTTTATAGTGTTATGCTGGTAGTTTGTGTTTATTTTAGGTGCTTTACAAGCATGAGTCAGTATGCAAGAAAACGAGACAAAAATAGCGAAAAAAAGAGAAAATATGAAGAAAATGAAAAAACCTAGCACATAACACCCATGGTGTTCTCCATGAGGCCATGGTGCTCGCCATTGGCCTTGAAGATCACGTTCACCCATTTTACACTCTTGGCGTTTTCCATGGGCTTTGAAACCCGAAAAATAACAGCTGAAAACAGTCTCGGCCTACTTCCACATTTCTCTCCACTATTCCTACATTTTTGGAGCACTTCCATGTTTCTCTCCACTACTCCTATATTTTTGGAGCACTTTCATATTTCTCTCTAGTACTCCTACATTTTTTGAAGGACACTTTCTACCAGTTTTGAAACACAATAAATAGGACTTTAGATTTAGTTTTGATAGATCCAAATTTTGTAGAATTTTCTAGGCAGTAAAATCATTTATTTCAAAAGCACTTATTGCTCAAATTGAGTGATAAGTGTGTCATAACCGATAAAAAATACGAGTTGCCACCACTACTTTTGTCCTAAGGACAAAGGAATAATGGGTAACCCAAATTTGTATAGAGATTCTAAATTTGTAAGTTGGTTAGATAAAGGGAAGGTGTTAGACACTCTTTATCTCCCTTGTTCTCAAGGGGCTCCTCTTCTAGGTCTTAGGGGTAAATCAAGAAGTTCTAATTTAAGTGTGTTGTTTCCATGTATTTAAGAAAATGTTTAATCTTTTAATAGCAGGACTCACCTTAGTTTTAACCGCGTGCCTACATATCTCCTTGCAAAGAATCAAAGTTCAAATTCGTAGTTCGTATGTGTTTGGTTAGTTTTTTTTTATGGATTGTGTAAACGCTTTCAAGTTATCCTTGAACCTTGTCTGTGTTTAAAAATAGCATAGTCATAACGAAGTTAGCAGTTAATTTTAAAAGATGTTAAGTTTGATGATGGGTTAGCTATACTAAAATTATGTTAGTAGAAAAGATGTTAAGTTTGATGATGGATTAGCTATATTGAATGCATGATGCAATTTTGAAAATATTGAATGATGTTGAAATTAGTGAAAAATATTTCATGAGTTGATAAAGGATGTTAGTAATTTTTACAAAATAATTTATGATTATTATAAATATTATATTTATTTATCAAAAATAAATTGTATATTTATAATAAGAAATATTTGTTTTTTAATGCAAATGATAAAAAAATGATGTAAAGAAAATAAACTATCAAAATGAATATATGAATGAATCAAAAATATAAAATAAATAAATAAATAAATTAAACAAAATAAATAAATTAAATAAATTAAACAAAATACAGGGGGGTGTATTTTATTTTACGTAGCAATTACTGGGT